AAAAAAAAAAAAAAAAAAAAAGAAGTAGTTAAAATACTCAAATATTCTCAGACTTCCAGGAGACCTGTTCTTTGGTAAAGATTTACTATAATTTAATAAAATCCCTCAGTAGATATTCCAAATAATACTTTGAGGATCTGCTATATACCAGATACTGTGCTAGTTCATTTCATTCATTTTAATTTGTTTTATCAGACTTCTACAACCATTCTAAAAGGCTATGAAGCCCTAAGAAATTAAATAATTGATGCAAGGTCACATTGCTTGTATGGGGTTGGAGCCTGGATTTGTTCCCAAATCTCTGTTACTACTAAACCTATACTTTTATAACTATACTATGCTGTTTTCCCACTAAATGTTTAGCTCTGTACTTTAAACAAATAACACATGGAACTGGACCTCAAAGTAGTTTCAAGCAAAATGAAGTAAAAGCACACATTTTTACAAGWAAAAATAAACTGTTAAATTCTACTAATGTCACATGAAGAACCTTTCAAAATAAGCAGATCTCATTTATGTGAGAAAGTGATGGTTAAAACTCTTCTCTAAGATCTCACTTACTCATTGAGTTTATAAATTTTTTCAGAAAAAAAGACTTCATCAAGAAGCTTGTGGATGTTGCGTCTCTCTGCTGCAAGCAAAACACCATCATTTGCTAAAATTCCCAAACAGGTTCCTGCATGTCCAATAGCTTCCATGGCATATTCAACTTGATATAAGCGACCTACAAAACACAAGCAGAGGGGCTGGGGTTGTGGCTCAGTAGTAGAGCACTTGCCTAGCACATGTGAGGCACTGGGTTCAATTTTCAGCACCGCATATAAATAAATGAATAAAATAAAAGCCCATCAACATCTAAAAAATATTAAAAAAAAAAAACCAAAACAAAACAAAAAAACAAAAACCCCACAAAACACAAGTAGAGAGAAGCCAAGACTCTCCTCTGTGTCCCTGTATACTGTTCCAAGAGAAATCAGAAATGACACTAGTAGGCTACAAGCAATGGTCCTATTTTTACTCTTCCATAATGCATATGCAATCAGGCTAGTGACCACAATTAATTCACAAGTACAAAAAGCATGAACTTAGTAATTCCAAAAATGTTTGTAGCTGGGGATGGTGGTGCATGCCTATAATCCCAGTATCTCAGGAGACTGAGGCAGAAGGATTGTGAGTTCAAAGCCAAGGCCTAA